GCAAAGAAATAATAGAAAACAAGTAACATAGAAGATATTCGTTTTTAACTAGTGCACAGGCAATAAGACATGTATTGAATAACACATTTAAACAAGAAAATCGTTACGAAACTTCTGTTCTATTAAACTGTTTTCATTTCTTTTATTTTACCCGTCTGTTTGAGACTATCATTATATCTTCCCAGCTCTAACACGAAAGAAAGAACAGAGAATCATTCTTAGTATATTTTTATACCACTCTTTTTATTGCTGAATACATCGATACTACTCTTATGTAACATTGTGACATATATAGCTGTGTAAAGACATGCGTAATGTACGTTTAACCGTAAGTTAGACAAGATAGAAGGACAGCAGCGAACATTCTGAATAGATGGTACCTAATCATCTCACAAAAAATAATTTATACAAACATTTTTTAACGAAACGCCTGATTTGTTTGGTTACGACAGTCCTGATTTTGTGTCACGAGAGCCCTGTAACTACAACTATGCATACACTACTCTTACAGTGCGACAGCCCTGTAGTAACGGTTACGATAGCCCTGTATTGTCACTCATATTTCTTCAGTAAAGTATATTTCGACAACCCTGTAAAATTCATTACGAAATCCCTGTAATTGAGATTGTTGATGTTCTAAAATATAGATATAAAACACTGATTACGATCACCCTGTCAAATTCGTTACGATAATCCTGCTTTTTTGTTGCGAAAGCCCTGATTTTTGTCGTTACGAAACCCCTGTAATTGACGAAATCAGGGATTTCGTAATGGACCATAATTTCCGAAAGCCCTGTCAAAAAACCGTGACGAGTTGCAACGTTCTCAAAATTTACATGTGGCTGAGAATTCGTTGGAATTAAAATGGAAACTTACAACCTACAGTAAAAGTTATAAAGTTAAGGATGTTATTGAAATTTGACTGACCAGGGAACATATCCAAGTGTCAAATCGCTTTTCGATCGAACATATGCTTAACAAATAGGCCTCAATGAGTTATCAAACAACAACCTAGAATAGTTTGGTTTCCTAGACTCTCTGAGCCAACATATACAAGTTTCATGAAACTTCCATGTCAAGAAAACCATTGAAAACCACTATAATAAAATCTGGTTATTTCCTAACTAATGATTTCTGCCCTGTGAACTCACGAGAACAAAGAAAAATAGCAAAATTTAACCAACAATGTTCGGACGTTGTTTACGGCATGCGTAACAAATCTTATGTTTCCCTCTGAGAATTGGCATCACTGATGATTCTTAACAATTTTATACCTATTCTCAGAACATCATTCTGAGAACATCACACACTTTTCCACTTTCTTTGCACGCACATTTTGCTTTTATCCTATGAAACTTAATAATAATCATTAGTTGATATATAATCTCGAGTGGATAATTATATATTGTGAAATGAATACTCAAATATAAGTACTTTTCCAATATTTGGAGAGCCAGTAAGTGTCACGCTTTATTTTTCCAATATGTTAGTGTCATTTGACACATTTCAATGAGACATATCTATTGATGTACAATGCAGTGTGAATCAATCTATTTTAGGATGCAATAATCCCAGCACGTTTACTATAGACATTTGATCGTATTTGATAGGTCTCATTGAGATCTATTGGTTGATAAACAGTAAACAATGAGATAGATTCCAGACAACGATAACTCGTATAGTATGATGTCAACATGTATACTATAATAGATTTTATAGGCAGATGTTTATTACTATCGTTAATAGGCTCTCATAAGGCTCGTTAAAATATATGCTAGATATTTTGTTCTACTCAGATTTTTTTATATTGAACAAGAATCTTATATAGAATTCCGACTTTGATATCTGTTAGTCAAGTCAAAAATCAGTGAAAAGCCTTTAAAAAAATGTAAAATAAATAAGGTTCGTTGATTAAAAAGGTGTGTATTAGTAAAATTTGTTTTGAGAACTTTCTGAACTATGTTGTATTTTTTCTATTTAATTTGTATATCAAAAGATACAGCTTTTGATAGACTTCCAGAGTCTGTTCTCAAGTGCCTGGAATACATGAATAATAGGACTCTTTTGATTTCAATGTTTAAAGAAAATTTGTTTGAAAATTGATAATAAATTTTGTATTTCGACTCTTATTTTCAAGAAAAGAGACGATCGGATGGGTCCTTAAATAGAATTTCATAACGCAGACTGCGCTATCGAATGGTCTATAGCACTTGTAGATTTAATCAAGTTTTGATGAAGATATGACATGGACAAGAAAATGCATAAATAACTATAAGTTTTAACAGATTCAATGAGGACAATTCATTTATGTCCCTTATCTCCCCACAATTTTATTTACATTTGATCCTAATATTTTGGCTGTTATATATACACTTCACGACCTTTCAAACTGAATATCATAGAACAAAGTCTGAAATCTACCTTCAAGCGATCCTCTGCTGTAGTATCTCATAAACAACAAGAGAAACAAATCAAGTCAGTCATGCGAAAATAATAATTTTCTAACTGTAAACCGAACATTCCTGAAACGGACTGTATGTATTAATAATGTTCATTGAAGAAAACGATGCTATTCTATGCTTTTTATTTATTAGACAGAATTATTTGCAGTAAACATACGAATAAGGATACGTGGAAAACGTTAGGATTCTATAAATTATTCGAATCGAAATATTCTTAGAATATACTTTTCCTTGGTTACTCATATATTCTTCAACAATTCATCTAAATTAAAATAAACGAAGTCTTGACTACAACCAATCGACTAATCGTGCGAAGCTTAAAATAAATTGTACTTGAATTTTTTTATTTGTTTAATTTCAACTAGTTTTGGTTTTTTTTTAATATTAAGCTACAAATTCTATTAGGCAATGACTTGATCCATGTTATACTGGATGATGATAATGATGATGACTAGAATTTCTTTTATTCAATAATATTTTACAAAATATAATAAAATTCGATTATCCGTTTTTTTTTCTTTTTCAGCTAGTTTAAACGAGAAAAAAGACCTAGATTTTATGGCAAATCGTACTCTCTTTATTTTTTTCGCACAATCTACAGTACAGAATAGAAAGATAAAGTATTATGATGACCTTAATGTAATATATAGATAGATAGAATAATGTAAACGAACCAACGGATAGAAGTACACATAGATATTAGGAACAGATATTTTTGTTAGGTAGATCAATGCCAAAAGACTAAACCCGTACATTTTAAACATAGGGGAACAAAAGAACTGTTCAGCACATTCATACACACATACACACACACAAGAAAATAATAAAGGATAATAAAGTGTAGCAGTTGTAACCTAAACAATGGCATACATGCGCTGCTAAAATAATGCTAATATGTATGTGTGTATGTGTGCATACATTGGCTAAGGAAAAAATACTGTGTTTGTAGGTAATAAAGAAAAGAGAGAACGCACACACATGTATTTATGTACATGAAATAGAGGTAACAACAAAAGAAAAAAATCAAACAAAACCTTTTCTCTTGTCGTTCACCTAATGTTCTAGAGATGCAACTCGACTTTTTAAACAC